AGATTAAATGATTTAACCTTTTTTTGTTATCTACCTGGATGATTGAGCCTACAAACCTTTTTTTCTCATGTGGCATTAAGCCAATGTGCTGATGGCAGAACACTGGATAGATGGGGCTGGGATAGTTGGAGAACTGGGAACAAGTGAGTGAGGCAGGCTGACTGAAGAAACACTGAGAAGCTGACAGAGAGTGAGAGAGTGAGAGAGTGAGAGAGTGAGATACGGCACAGAGGAAAACTGATTATCTGAATTAAGGAAACTAATGTTTCAGAGATAAACTGATTTTTTTTTTTAAAGCACACACAACAGAACTATACAGTGACCCTGAGGTTTAAACCACAACTATCAAATCAAGCACAATGAAATGTTACCACTGTAGAACAAAACACCTGAATCACAACATACAGAAAACAATAGTGACTAAAAGAGAAAGTTCACCTGATCTAAAACATCAAAAATAATCAAAATGCACAGATCATAACAGGACTCCGGTCACTCATCAATCAGATCACAAGATGATGATGATGATGGTCATAAATTGATATAAACAATACACTAGTTGAGGATTATTTCATTCGGTCTTAGCTCCGTGACGAATCGACGTGTTGGTGTTCACCCTGCACCACTAACCCTGCGACAGCTGGTGCATGCAGCCCCACCTCAACTCTGAACACCACAAAGCAGGGGTGGGAAATTTTTATTTTATGAATCTATGAATTCAGAGCTCGCCCATAATTCAGCATTGAAAGTTGCTAAATTTTCCCATATTTTTCATCTTTTAACTATTTGAACTGATAAAACGTACTAATGTTGAGCATTTAGACAAAAAGGATACAAGTGAATTTAGTTACGTCATATAAGAGTGAAAAGAGAGGCAAATTTCATAAAAATTTAAGAGCCCATCAAGTCTTAAAGGTGGATACAGCAAATATTTTGCCTTAATGAAGCAGAATTAGTTCACTGACAAAGAATAAGTTTATCTTTGAGGCATGTCAGAATAATAACGTGACAGATTTCATTGTAGATGTGATCTGATAATGGCTGTATTTAAAACTGAAACCACCAGACGTTTCAGGAAGCAACAGCTTGGAAAAGCATCACTCAGCATCCTCTTCCTGTGAGCATTTAAATCAGGGCTATTCAACAAAACTGCTCGGGGGGGCACAGTTTCTGAAAGCCAACAGCTCGGGGGCCGGACGTCCAGCGATTAAAATCACTATGGAAATAAACTAAAGTTTGCAATGATCTGTTACCTTTTTAAATTTGTTTATTTTATTGCATTGAATAATTAATGCAATAAACAGAACCCAAACCCAGAACACCCCCTCCACCACCCTTTTTTTATTTATGAAATGGGCTGGATTGGCGCGGACCACCAGTTGAATAACCATGCATTAAACCAAGTTAGAAACCTGACGTCCTGTCTTGGTTGCAAGTTCCTCAACAAGACTTTGGTCTCATTTGACGTTTTCTTTTACTCGTTCCACATAAAAAAAAAATCAAAGATGACTAAAAAAAATACCAAAAGAAATGGGCTTCTGAGTTGGCAAACTGTGTGGAGAAGTCTGCACTAAATAAAGTATGCTTGTTTTGTTTTAAGTAAAATGAGAGGTGATAAAAATGTGTTACATTTAAAACATCATCTTGAGGACCTGATGTTTACAAAGACCATATTTGGCCCTCGAGTCTTAATTTTGACATATGGTTCAGACAATCTGAATATTTTTAGTAGTCTAATTTACTTCTTTATTATTAATTAACTTTAATCAGTGTAAAACTGTCAGGATCTGTGTATTTTGTGTTTTTCGTCTTCTTGTGGCTCTTGTTTAGTTTTATTCTGTGAGTCTGTTTTACTTGTGTTTCAGCTTCCCCAGTGTTTTTCCCCTCCCCTGGTTTCTGCTGCTGCCCGTCCCTTACCTGTTCCTGTCTCTCCCCAGGTGTTGTCATTTCTCTCCCATTAGTTTCCCTTCAGAGCTCGTGGTGCATTATGCTTTCACGCTCTTTGTTTTCCCACGAGCCTCTGGAGAACGTTGTCATAGTGAGCACTTGCTTGCGTTTCGGTTGTTTTTGTGTGGCCTCGTCAGCCTTTTCGTCTTTTGGAAATAAATTCTCTTGTTTATTTTTACCTTTGAGTTCTTGAGGTTTTTGGTTTGGCGTTTGGGTTCGCATCTTTCAGCAAGCGTGACAAAAACTGTGGGTTTGTTTGGTTGAAAACAAACCAAGTACACAAAAAAATTGTTTTTATCATCTTCATGTAAAACAAAATTAAGTTCCATCACGTCAACTGTTGTCCAAACACAACTTTATTTAGCAGTAAAACAGAAGGGTCAAACTATTGAGACTATTTCAAACAAGGAACCATTATGGGTTTATTACACAACCTGTCTTTAATAAAAATGGTTTTTAACTGTTAATGTAATGTTTATGAAGACTGACGTATTTTCCACCGTATACGTCGCACCGACCTATAAGTCGCTTCAGTCCAAATATGTCTAATAAAGTGTAAAAATCCATAAATACGTCATTTCGCCGTATACGTCGCATCTATTATGCATCACCGCTGACAGCCCAGAAACGTGGACCGGTGTTGTGCCAAAAATTGAATGGCTGCCAAATGGCGGTCACTGGATCGTGCACAAGAGAACTTTAACAAGATAAACACTTTAATACAATTGTTTGATTGCTCGAAATTATAGTAAAGGTGTGTCTCAGTCTAACTTTTACTTAATAAATGCACTTTGACGGTCAAGTCAGCTGCATTTCAAAAGCCGATACGCGGAAGTAGGAACACGCAGAGGGACGAGTCGCTGCGCATTTCTTTGAAATCTAACAAGATAAACACCGAAAAACAATTATTTGTTTACTCGACTTTATAGCAAATGCGTGTTTCAGTCTAACTTTTGCTTAATAAATGCACTTCAATGGCCAAATAAGTTGCATTTTGTCGGGGCGGCGCAGCGAAATGAAGCTGATTTGACGGTTGCACCAAGTGAGCAGTGCGTAGATAGCAGGCTATGGCAAGCCGATTGTGTCATTAATAGCCACTTTTACCTACTACATGACACAACGGCATGCCATACTGCTCGAGTAACATCTAGCGGCTGAAAATGGTAGTGTTCAATATTTTCAGTCAGAATAAATAAAAACAGTCATATCTCAGCCAAAAGTTGGTTTATAACTATGGGGGAAAATCCATAAATACGTCACTTTGGTGTAAAAGTCGCATATGCAAAAAAAAAACCACGACTTATAGGGTGAAAAATACGGTAAAATGAGGGAAGTAAAGCAAACCTGTACTGGTACGTCCCTGTGTGTTCAATGCTTGCTTTAAAAGCTAAAAGTGACAAAATAAGCAGGAAAGTTTAGGTGCCTTTTTTAGAGTTCCACTTTTTTACCACCTTGTACAGAATTAACATGAAACACAGTCAGGAAGGTTACCGGTAGTAAAGGGAGCCTCCCTCTGCAAAAAAAAATAAAAAAGTGCTAACACCAACAGCACTTCCTCTGGATTTTTGTGCCAACAACTTCACTTCAGAAACTCACTACATCTACTGTAGAAACTTGAGTCCTGATGATATTAATAAAATTAGATAAATGAGTACTTATCACATTTGTTGGTATAACAGCACACTTGGGATTTTATGTTTACTTTGTGCTCCCACAAAGTTCTTCAGTGTGGATTGAGTGTTTAACCTGAATAGTGAGCACCCTTGAGTCTCACGCTGCAGTTCTTGAACTGGGATTGGCTGCTGCTTCAAGTGGAAGAGCGTGATGAAGTGGTGCAGCATCAGCAGTGCCCACGTGGTGTCACAAGATGTCACGCCAAGAGTATGTGAGCTATAGCCATTTTCATTCATCCATCCATCCATCATCTTTACCTGCTTCTTCCTTTCTGGGTTGCGGGGGTCACTGGTGGCCATTTTGTCTGGGCTATGTTGTCTCCAAAAGGTAATCACTTGCAGATGTACAGCCAATAATTATTTCCTGCAACTCTCATTTCAATTTCTCTAGTGTTTCAATAAGTATTTTGGGAAATGACCGACAATATTCTCATAAATTCGGAAGCAGGCAATAAAAATAAGTACAATACCTAAACAACCACTGAAGCTGAATTGTTATCCCTGAAATTCCCACAGAGATGCCAGAAACTGATAAGGTAACAGGTCTACCTTGTGGTATATTCAGGCCTTTCTTGTAAATGAGTCCCCGGGGCTCAATGGGATTAACCTGTATAAATAAAGGTTGAATGAAAAAGCAAAAACACAGATGGCGACTAATTCAAGTTATTAAGTTTCATAACCACTGCTTCTTCATTATGTTTATAATAACCATATGTGTTGTTAATTTATTAAAAGATTTGGTAATAACCAGGCAGCGCTGTGGCACAACTAGAGCTGCTGCCTCTCAGTGAGCAGGTTGCCCCGGCTCTAATCCCGGTACAGGGGCCTTTCTGGGTGGAGTTTGCATCTTTTCTCTGTGCATGTGTGGGTTTTCTCCAGGCGCTCCAGTTTCCTCCTACAGACCAAAAACGTGAATGTTAGGCTGATTGTAACTATAAATTGTCCCTAGATGTGAGTGAGAGAGTGAATGGTTGTTTGTCTTGTTTGTCTCTATGTGTCCCTGTGATGGACTTGTGACCTGTCCAGGGTGTCCCCCGCCTCTCGCACAGTGATGGCTGGACATGGGCACCAGTGACCCCCGTGACCTGAAAAGGAAGAAGTGGCCAAAAGATAATGGATGGATGGAAATAACCATATCAAGTTCAAGTCAAGTTTATTGTCATTTGCTTCACTTGTGGTACATGAGGTGGAACAAAATTATGTACTCAAGATCCCAGTTTACCCAAAAATAGCAAAAATACAAAGTATAAAATAATAGTTTACAGTATAAGGATCTAAGATATAAATAGACAAATACTTAAATCCTGTTCAGTGTTTTTCCATTAGTGGAACCAGCACAAACCTTGCTTTAAGATAATTGTCCGTGTTTTTGTGTTTCAGAGTTTCAAAGATGAGATCACGCAGGATAAGGGCTTTCTTCATGGCTGGGGCTCTCGGTCTGTTGGTCCTCCATCTTTCCAAAGAGTCTGACCACCCCAAAACTGTCCAACTCGACACCAATTTAAAAAAGGACAAATACAAAAATAACTCCTACTTTGACACCTGGCCAAAGTGTCAACTGAACACCAGCGCCCACAACATCACTGAGTTCGCAACTCTTCCGCAGAATATCCAGGACTTTCTCTATTATCGACATTGTCACCATTTCCCCATGCTGCTGGACCTTCCGGAAAAATGTGGGGGCGTTTACAAATCTGAACAAGTCTTCCTTCTGCTGGTTATTAAAAGCTCCCCCCATAATTACGACCGCCGAGAGGTGCTGCGCAAAACCTGGGCTAAAGAGAGGATGCACAACGGTGTGTGGATCCGAAGGATCTTCATCTCAGGAACATCGGGTGATGGTTATGAGAAGGAAAGACTCAACACATTGCTGGAGCTGGAGCAACGGGAGTTCGGTGATATCCTCCAATGGGACTTCAGCGACACATTTTACAACCTCACCCTAAAGCAGATACTATTCCTGGAATGGATGGAACGAAACTGTCCCAATGCTCGTTTCCTCTTTAACGGTGATGATGATGTCTTTGCAAACACGAACAACATGGTTGTGTATCTCCAAAGCCTTAAGGACAATGATGGAAGCAAACATCTCTTCACGGGCCATTTGATTGCGAACGTTGGGCCTATTAGATCACCAGGGAGCAAATACTTTATCCCCTTTCAAGTGCAGAAGTCAGAATCGTACCCTCCTTACTGTGGAGGTGGGGGCTTCCTCCTGTCTGGATTTACAGCAATGGTTATATATCGTATGTCCAAATCCATCCCCATCCTTCCCATTGACGATGTTTACATGGGGATGTGTTTGGCCAAAGCAGGACTCAGTCCTTCCTCCCATATGGGTGTGAAGACGGCAGGACTACACATCGCCGCCATCACGCTGGACGAATTTGATCCCTGCTACTACAAAGAGATTTTGCTTGTACACAGATTTCTTCCGAGTCAGATTTATTTTATGTGGCATAGAATAGAGGACCCGAGTTTGGACTGCAGTCCTTCTGGGACAAGGCTTGGCATCAGCAAACTATAACTCACAGGGAGTAACAGCTCTGTGGATTTGCAGAAGGTGAAATGGATGTAGACATGCAAATGAACACATGTTTGCATGGGCAGCCATATTGTTGACGTAGACGGATGCATCTTTTCCGTTCACTTTCAAGGAAGACAGAGCAGTGGATTTGCACAAGGTGAAGTAGATGTATACATGCAAACCAACTGATATTTGCATGGACAGCCATATTGTTGACATTGACTTATGCATCTTTTCAGTTCACCTTCAAGGGAAACATAAAACTAGGTATTTCTTTCCCTTCGACAGAACGGTCAGAACAGTACTTTGGTCTTTAGTTCAACTAATGCAGAATGTTTCTTTTCAAGATGATCCAGTGTTGCTTTGCAGGTTCTGTGCACCTATGCTGTTTAATCCCAAGGTACCTCTTCAACTTTATTTGCCAAAATAAGATCAGAAAAGAGAAAGAGAAAAAACACAAACAGGTCAAATTAAGAAACAAGAAATAATAAAGTCATTTCAACCAGTTCACCCTTCGTCTGGATTGAGTATGCTACAATAATACTGCTCACTAATCCATCCAAATGTTGCCTGAACCTAAACTTTAAGTGTTTTGTTTTTATCACTCTTGCAGTGATTAAACTGAATGGCACTCTCTCACCTGAGCATGGCGTCACTGTAACTTACAGCTTTGCAGGATGACCACAAATGGGCAACCCAGAGCGAAGGGCAATAAGTTGTGAATGACGCTGCTTTCACTAGAACAGAACAAGCTGAACTTTCATGAAAAGCTGTTTATGACTGAACATCTCGCTTTAAATTTTATAAGTCATCATTCAGTTCCCTGGCAATGGAATGATGACTGATACAGAGATGCAGCTTTACAAGAAATATGGAAAGTGTCAAATTTGTTTTGCTTGTAATGACATAATGTCACAACCACAACCTTTAAAAAACAATGTGCTTTTTTACAGTTCTCTTTTTTTTGTTGTAATCCTTTTCTAAAGTCAGGAACATAACTGAAAAAATATTCACTTTGTTTTGTTTTTTTTTGTTTACGGTCATTGTATACACATAGGAGCAAAAGGAATTTCAGTAAATTGCATTTCATAACAAAACAGTTTCCATCTCTGAGCTAAAGCTTTCACATGTTACAGTTTCCATCTGTCCCTGCACGTCCAGGTGACAGTTTATCATCTTTTAGGGTGTGGTACCTCGCATTGCTTGGTACGACTATGAAATCTAGTCGTTTTAGTGCAGATTACACCAAAATATACATTTCAATTTATATTTAAAACCACTGTAATGTTTAAAATGACAGGTTTTTTCCTATTTGTTCCCATAAATTAATTTTATTTTCATGATTTCCTATATAAGAAATTTCCCAAAAATATGGAGTCAATACAGTTTTATAATGAAACAATAATTAGTCATTGTTTGTTTTTATTGTTAAATTTTGCAATGTCTTTAGAAGGTTTACTGTTGAATATTCAGCTAATTAATGAAACTGTGAGTAAAAGTAGTTAATTCTGTTAAAAATGCATCACATTTCTTCTTTTTGTTTAGTCGAGGTGCAAAGGGGTGAGGATTAGAGACTGGGCAGCTGTTGTAAATTAAATGTACGTCTTGTATCAGCAGAGGCAGGAACGTGTGTGTGTGTGTGTGCATGTGTGTGTGTGTGTGTGAGAGCAGTGAAGCGAGTAAATACAGCTTAGTGATGAATGTTCGGGATTAATTGTCGCAGTCCATCAACTTTAGGATTATTTTGCTGCTTGTGTTCCTCGAGGATGAAGCAGTTCATATAAAGTTTCGTGCTGAGGGCGCACCTGAGTCAAGACTTGAGATTTAACGTACTAGACCCATTCATTCTGTGTGTGCAGGACTTTTTTTATTTGTACATAATACAAAGCAACGGTAATAGAAACCGGTGTTAAATGTTTCCTGAAAATCACAAGTTGTGGAAACTGTATATCGTAACGACTGCCTGGTGAAAACACACAGTAAGAGCTTTTTTTTTTGTCACAGCTGGATATTGAATCTGTCCTGACAGCTGTGCTGTTAGGTCCACGTGTCAAATCATGAACTGTTCTGCTCAAAGCGGGCTCTGAGCAGATCAAACTCTCCTTCTGTCCTGTAATTATGACCAGAACCTGGAAAAGTTTTATTCTTCAGTTCTTGTCGTGGATGATGTTTACTGTGTTTCTGTGTACACTGAGAACATTTGCCTTTTGTCAAATTATATAAAAACACAAATCTCTGATTGTATTTGATTTGCAGGCGAGTAAGTTGTGGGGAAAAGTGTGGGGAGTGGTGGCGCAGAGGTTAGAGAGGTGGGCTTGTGATCCGAAGATCGCCGGTTCACGCCCCGGCCCCGACAACATCAAAATTGTGGGTGGGGTAGGTGAAACACCCACACTTGCCCCCACCCTCATTCGCCCCACTCTGGGCCCATGAGCAAGGTCCTTAACCCCACCATTTGCTCCCTAAACAGGTCTCTCTTGAAAATGAGTTCTCGTGGCTCAATGAGACTAACCTGGATAAATAAAGGCTAAATGAAAAAAAAAAATGAAAAAAGTTGTAACGTGCGGTGTGTTCTTTTATTAACTGATTTTGAATCAACTTTGTTATATGTATGACAGATGAAGTATAATAAAATAATTAAGTGTTCCCCACCCACGTCATGTTCTTTTTATCTTGGCCAGTGAACGCCTGATGGGCAAACATGTAAATGTTTTACTTGAGCTTGAGTCAGGCTCACTACAACAACGCTTTAACCAGTTGAGCCGAACTAAACAAACATATCATGTTTAACCGTTTTCCTTCAGGACATTTGACTGACGGACAAAAAGCAAATATTAATTTTGGTTTTATGAGCGTACAATTCCTGTACAGAGTAACGTATGGAATAATGGGAAGTTGCTGAATAGTTTAGCAGCTCATTAAAGTTGTTTAATCTTTTTTTAAGTTTGTGATTTAAAAAAAAAAGGCATCAAAGTATCCTATTCTTTTAAAACTGCAAAGTTAAAGAATAATAAAGATGAAGTCTAACAGTCAGATATTTTACTTACAAACTGCATCTATGGCAAATTAATAGGTCACTTCTAAATGTGATGTTTAGCTTATTTTAATATGGTTTAATTAATTCTGTCACATGAGCATCACATTTACTTAAAACAAGTTTTTACTTCAGGTGCTTCAAAATGGTTTTTAGGAAACATTTCTATAATAAAAACTAGATTTAAACAGTGACCTCGCTTTTAAAAAGACTCTTTAGATTTGACAAAGGTTTGGTTTGTGAAATGTCCCTGCTGCCATCTTGTGGTATTTGTTTGGATGAGACAATAAAATCTTTGGCCACTGAGCAACAAGAGCATGTCGACCACAGATTATTATTATTATTACATGTGTAACAGAAGAAAAAGAAAAGAAAATTAATTATCTTTGTGTAGGAATATTTTTAAACAGCTAAATAAATAAAAAGGTTTTAACAATTTGGCCAAACAAGATATTAAATATAAGAAAATAATAAATACAATAAATAAAATATATTTAATTAAAAAAACACAATAATACATAATCTTTATTGAGGATTAAAATGCTTCTCAGATTGAAAAAAAAAATTGTAAACATTTAAATATAAATTTGAAGAAAGATATTTTAAAAAATTTAAAAAGAGTTAAAAAGAAAGTATTTTCTTTTCTTTTGTCCTTGACAAACACTTTGTGGTGTTTCCAAACATCAAAGTTCATGCTCAATAATCCAGGTTAAAAAAAATCCAACAAAGTTAAGTCAGGTCCTCTGGACGGTTTCTTTTTTTTGTCCTTCATCCAAAGTTTGCTGTGGCTCCTCGGACTGATGAAGTCCTTTGGATGAATGACGAAACATCTCAACAAAAAAAGAAATGATCCAGATGAGCTTTGTTGGGCTTTGTGGTGTAATTTATCTATAAATAAATGATGAATGAAAGGTGAGGATTTGTTTTTTACTGTTTATGGAGTGAATAAGGACGAACACGCCGTTGGACAAGAAAAACAAACAAATAAATAAATTGAGGAACTGACACTAAGCCCCTTTTCACAGCAGCAAGAAGGGACATTACCAAGGTTTGACATCATCAGGGCATCATACGACCATAATATATTTGGGGGGAGTAGTGGCGCAGAGGTTACAGAAGGTAGACCTGTGATCGGAACGTCATCGGTTCAACTCCCTGGACTGACAGCATCAAAATGTGGGTCGGAAAGGTGACGCACCCACACCTGCTTCCACCCTCATTTGCCCCACTCTGGGCCCTTGAGCAAGGCCCTTAACCCCCACCATCTGCTGCTGCAGGCACCCATAGCAGCTCTCTGCTCCACACAGAGGGCTGTGGTAGCTCGGTGGTCTGTGGTTGTGTCAGGAAGGACATCCGGTGTAAAAACAATTGCCAAGTCTTTGTGCGAGTTAGTTTGCCGCGGTGAACCTTGAGGAAGGGAGCAGCCGAAAGAAGATCACCCATGGTCCATCACACTGATCTTCATGTCCTTCACTCACACGTGTGGAGGAGCTGATATCCAAAACATTACATCATACAAACCCACTAATCAAAAGTGTAACATTTTAGATATCTGTGTCATAGCTCAGTTTTACTTGCTCCGGGTTATTAAACCGGTCCTCTTCAGGATAATTTTATATCCTCAGAATAATAGCTGGATTATATTTCAGATCATTAAAAACCTCCTGCCAAGCCTTCAGGTCTGAGAAATTTAATACAAAATAACAAACTGCAGTTTTTTTTTTCCTAACAGTTGATTTGCTTACTTTTGCTTCTTATTTGAAATAGATTTCAGTCCATTTTCTCATTTTATGAATTGGATTTTTATTGTATTTTTTTTTTTTATTTGAATACAGAATATTTTAAGTGATACAGGTTTTTTTAGAGCAAGGGTGGGCAGTCTTGGGCCAAATTAATTATTTAAAGCAATTGAAGCATTTGTGGTTAAACCGTTTAAAAGCAAAAGGCATTAGAAAATAAGTATTTAATTTAGATTTAAATACGGTAAGAACAGGCTCAAGTGGGAGCTCCTCAGGGAATTTGTTCCACATGTGAGGGGCGTAAAAAGTAAATGCAGCTTCATCACGTTCGGTAAGAAACTGATAACCAGTGAAGTCAATGACTCTGACCGCTGCAT